GTAGTAACAAGAAGCCACTAGTAACAAGTGCCACGCTAGTAGTAACAGGTGCCTTACTAGTAGTAACAAGAAGCTACTAGGAGCAAGGGCATTGCTCCTGTAGCAAAGGGCATCGCTACTAGGAGCAAGGACGCTAGTAGTAGCTCCTGGCCTTACTACTAGGAGCAAAGACGCTACTAGGGGCTCCTGGCATCGCTACTACAAAGGCTGACCATTCCAGAGGGTTTCACAAGCTGTTGCCGCCAGAGTGGCAAACCATGTGTTCGTCAGGTCTTGCACAAGCTGGTGCTTTCGTCCTCTCCACATCTTTTCTCTCAAAGTCCAAAGTGACGCCAAGCTCACCAACAAGTGTGGAAGGGTAGCGAATTAGCGGAATCCAGCACCATGTGGCCAGCTCTTCAAATATTCCAGGTGGAGGAGGCGTTTGAGTCTTCTCTTGGAGCTGACTTCATCCTGGAGCGGGAGAGTGTCTCGGTTCATGTGTTGCGATCCTTGCAAGATCCTCAGTGGAGGCGTGTCCTGTTTTGTAGTGCCCTTTGTAGTGCCCTTTGTAGTCTTTCATATAGAAAGAACTTCCTAATGTGAAAATTTCACATGATTCACATGTTTCAGGTTTATAGTGACTCTGGTCCTTGGTTTGGCTGTAGTGACTAGTGGGTTCAATGCTTCTTCTCTTCAAAAAGAGTCTTTATTGATCTTTGTTTGTTACAACTTGGGAGGTGTCACCACCGGCTGCAAAGAAAACCGCCTAGGTTGTGTGGAGATCCTTCGATGGATCGGAGGCACACTGCAGGAGGCCAACCTTTTGCTGAAGGAGGGACAGCTTACAATGGCTTACAACTGACACTCCTGACACTCTCTTCGAACAAGAAGCTAGTAGTAACAAGTGCCACGCTAGTAGTAACAAGTGCCTTACTAGTAGTAACAAGAAGCTAGTAGTAACAAGTGCCTTACTAGTAGTGCCTTCTCTCCTTTCCTCTTTTCCTAGTCTGTGACTCTCCGAAGGGATTCCGATCGAAGAAGCATCAAAGAAGCACCTTGATCCGTTGCAAATTCGCAGGAGCACGACCAGCAAGGACAGCAACACCTCCGCTTCTTGGCTCCAGACTGGCGTGGGTTACGAGAGGACAAAGTTAAGAGGACTTTGTGTCCATTTGGAAGTGTGCAGGTTGGAGGCCATCGCTCTTAGATTGGAGGCCATCGCTAGTAGGTTGCAAGCTCATGATGACCGTGCCCAAGAAATGGTCCCAAAGCTGAGAAGGTTCCGAGAATAAGTTTAAGTGATGGCAGTGTTGGAAAGATGAGAACCTCCTCGGTTGAGTCCCACTGTTTATGATCTGGGGTCACCAGAAGTGTACACTTCTCCAGTCCAAAGTTGTAACCTGTTTGTGATGCACCCTGAACGCCATGGCATTATGACCTGACCTGGGGGTGTCCAAAATCTCAGGCGTGCGTGACTTCTTGAATTTGCTCACAGGGCGGAAGCCCGCCCCTGTGCAGAGCGAGGCGGGCTGTAGCGCTTCTTCAAGTGAGCTTTCCTGCGTAGTAACTACTACTTAAGCTACTTACCTCTTACTACTACTTTAACTCCTGCGGCCTACTCAAAAAGTACATATATAATATATTATATGTATAAATATACATGAAAAAGCTTTCGCATAGGTGAACGAATTTGGAATCCCAGTGATGAAAGGATTGGTGACATAGAACTAAATTGGAGTGATCAAGCACCTCGTGGGAAGGCGATATCAAAAATGTGCTTAAATTTGAAGGAGTTCTCCAAACAAGATCTGGGAGTGAGATGTTTTTTGCTCGATAGTCTGATTTGTCTCTACAAGCCTTTTTTGCACATCCGAATCAAATGCCTGGTATGGAGAGATCATCAACACATGGGTGATTTGTTCAGCAAACAGGTGCAGACGCAACCTGTGTGCTGAGAGGCTCAAGCAGTTGGTGAAATGGATAAACGAATCCTGTTGATCTTGCTATGCGTGATCATGGTGTTCATCCTGTGATGTAGATGTCCCTTGATCCTGCAGGATATCACTTCCCGTTCCAACTCTGAGCCCCACGATGGTACAATCCAATACAACTCAATACATTGCCAGCAAATATACAATCAATACTCACTGGGTCCCGGGTTTCACGACACTTAAGCCCGCACAAAGACGGGACAAAGCAGTGTCCAATTGCGACGAAGCAAATGGCAGCGAATAAGATGTGAAAGGCAATGGACATGGCAGTCTATTGAAGCTGTTGATCTCAGTTGAAGCCCATATTTGGACCTAAACAAGACCCTTTCGAGAATCCGTGCATGTGTTGAAAGAGAGAATCGAAAGCTTCGTCAAAGTTTCACAAGAAGCGAGCGCTCTTTTCATCTTCGCTCTTCGAAAGCCGCGTCCATCTCTGCTCCCGTCTAGAGAAACCAATTTGAGCGGTGTGCGGATCTGTTTCAGCAATGCTTAACAACTTAGTTTGATTCTGCGCTGAATCATCCGAAGTGGAATGCATTAAGAACAAGCCACAAGCATTTTGGATCATGTCGTCATCCTCGTTTGTAGCAAGGAGCTCTTGATGCTCCAAGGCAAATTGCACTTGACCTGGAAGTATGTCTACCAAGATGACTGGGAGTCCGGAAGTATCACAGCCCAAGGTTCAGATTAGGAACAGGGAGGGACCCTTTTAGCCTTCGGCTGCAACCCCCTTCATTGGTAGGGCATCCTTTCTTCCGGGTCCTGGTTATCCCAGGCAGACCCAACTGGTATTTGATGCTTCAGATCGGTCCGTGGTTTTCGGCCCAATTCGAGACAGTCATCGCAACCGGCTTCACAATGGCAAACCAGTCGTTTTCAGAATTTCACGAGGCCGTTTGATCCAAGCTGTCCTAGGTTCGAATGAACACGCCCTAGGAGCAACAAGCTACTAGGAGCAAGGACGCCACAAGGGGCTCCTGGCCTTACTACTAGGAACAAGAAGCTACTCCTAAACATTTATTTTAAGCAAATAACTCACTCATATGCGTTCATCCGACATTCTGCTCACGAGCCACTGCAAGGCACAGGTGCAACACGAAGGATGAGGAGGGGTTGGCTATTCTGAATGAGGTCCTGAGCAGTAGGATTATGATGTGTTTTAAAGTCAAAATCCGTTGTTTGCCAAGAATAGGTGCTCACTCCATCAAACATGTACATGCATGAAGAGTGTAAGAACGATAGCCTTTCAATATGTTTGTTCTACTGAGGCTATGAGCAAGGATTCTACTAGGGGCTCCTGGCATCGCTACTAGGAACAAGAAACTACTAGAGGCTCCTGGCCATACTACTAGGAGCAAGGACGCTACTAGTGGCTATTAGAACATATCTAAACTTTCAGCACGGCTTCTTGTCGCCGCATTTCTCTCCACTACATGTGTAACATGTTGGATGTCTCCGCTGTTTGCTTTGCAGCTCAATACGCTGTACTTTTAGGAAGATGTTTTCTGGAGGAGTAACAACTTGGGACTAGTTCTTCTGCACAACTTGGGACTCGACATAGACAAGCAGCACCAACCCCAAGCAACGAGACCGACTTGAAATTCAGTTCTTCCGGCCAAAACCTGACATGAAAGGACTTGCTTAGCCAATCTTGATTACTGCTCTATATTGTGCCCTCCTCTTGCTGACCCTGTACATGTCTGCGGGTGGACGAGAACTGAAAGTTCTTAAAGAGAAATGGACAAATGTCGTACCCATACAAGCAGCCATCAATGCTTGAGCATAAGTCTTGCAGCCTTAATACCTGCGCTATCGCCCTGGCATGGATTTTTGGAATCCATGGGGTGCGAGGGGCAAGAGGAAGGACATGTGGCACAAGACGGGGGGCGGCGACTTGGCTTGAAGGATAGTTGCACCACTCAACCCTGCAGAGATACTTCCCACAAGTATTTGCAGGGTGTTCCGGGGGTTGGGTAATCCATAGCATTTGGTTGGTTCGGAGCTTTAGATTGAAGCATTTGGGTTTAGAGGTTTGGAGGCATCACTGCAATTACAGGGACAAGTCTTCATGTGTTTTTTCCATTGTGTTTAAAAGTTTAGGGTGGGCATTGGAGGTGGGCCGCCTGGAAGATACAGTTCTTTTTGCAGATCGACTGACGGGTGGCTTGATTTGGCCTGCCAGGCATCCAGGCAGACATGGATTGACAGCACGTCGAGCAATCCGCCCACCTTGGACCTCCACACCACCAGAGTCGCACTCAATGGATTGCCTGGAGGTGTTTGTAAAGGGTGCCCAATAAACACCCCTTTTGCAAACATGGGATCATTCCAAAACTAACAGAGTTGCACTACGTATGTTCAGCCACATGGAACCATACTCAACATGCTTTAAAGTGGCCGCAGACCTAGAACCCTAAGGGGTGCACTGGACACTTTGTGCCACTACGTCAATTCTTGAACATCGTTCTCTAATTAATTGTTTAGTCGTTGGGGAAGATAGATAGACCACTTGTCGTTCGTAGTGAACGCCGTTGTTCGATCGCTTCACACCTGACCTCCCTAGGTGCAAAATCGCACCTCTTCAATTTCACCGGGGTCTCGGCCAACAAGGCCGGTATGGGCCACTTGGCACGGTGTGGCATGGTTGAAGCTCAGTTGGCACGCGGAGCCACCTTGTTACTAGTAAGGCCAGGAGCTACTAGTAGCGTTCTTGCTACTAATAGCGATGCCCTTTGTTACTCGTAGCTTCTGTTTACCAGTAGTAAGAAATTTACTATGTTTGGCTTTGGGAGACTTCAAAGTTGAGGCGCTGATCGAAAGATGGTGGCAGATTTCGTGTATCAGAAGAGTCACTTGGCAAGTTGGAAGGCCACGCAGGCCTTGAAAGGCAGCGGAGCTCTCGTTTGAAAATGTTCCGAGCCTTGAAACGGCTGAGACGGACTGACTTCAACTTCGCAGATGTACTATGGCCAACCATCGGATCCGTCAGTAACGCGAGGAGCTACTAGTAGCTTCTTGTTCCTATTAGCGAGGCCAGGAGCGCCCCTAGTAGCTTCTTGTTCCTAGCAGCGATGCCCTTTGCTCCTAGTAGCGTCCTTGCTCCTAGCAGCGATGCGTATTGCTTTTTTGTTATTTTGTGGCAGACAATTGAGGATTCCTAAATGTCCGCGACAAATGTCCCCAGAGACTGTTAGAGTCCGATTCGCATGGTGAGGCAAGAACTCCCAGTACACCCAACACCAGCTGGCAGCTCGGTGCGTGTGTTGTGCATCCGTTGAGGAGTGTGGAGGTCATTGTATGAATTGTAATAAGACTGTGTCCGTTGTGCACTTGTTACTACTAGTAAGGCACTTGTTACTAGTAGCGATGCACTTGTTACTACTAGTAAGGCACTAGTAGACTGTTCATTTCCACTGGGGCAGCTTAACAGCTTTTGATGGGTTCTTACAGATGTCCAACACTTTGCATCCATCAGCCACGGAAAGTAACAGAGATTTGAGGACTGGTTGGTGATCCAAGGAATATGTCAAAACATTAAGCAAGGCATTGCTACTAGGAGCAAAGGGCATCGCTACTAGGAGCAAGGGCATCGCTACTAGGAGCAAGAAGCTACTAGGGGCTCCTGGCATCGCTACTAGGGGCAAGGACGCTACTAGGAGCTCAGGTTGAGACTGGTACGCCCAAGAGTATTTGAGACAAAACTATAACTCTACTCCTTAGTGGCCCATGTTGGGAAGAGCTTAGCAGATGGCACCGAGACCAAGACCCTTTGTCTCAGAACATGCGTGATGAGATACCCCACTTCCTTAAAGCGTCATCGTTGTTGCCTCATTGCTACATCCGGACGTTTGGTACGAAAAGGTTCCACGGGTAATACACAGGTAGGTAGTACTGCTGGTATGTCCACATTGGGATTGAATTTGGAGAGTGGGGAATGAGCCTTGAGAAAAGCCCTTGTGGGCATATCTTCTAGGCTTCTGAAAGTTTGAAGCGACAAATCGTGAGCTGGGTGTACCTAGTAGCGTTCTTGTTCCTAGTAGTAAGGCCAGGAGCTCCTAGTAGCGATGCCCTTGCTCCTAGTAGACCTGTTTCCTTAAGACCTGCACTACCGTGGAGCCTCATCTCGCCTCACGAGGTCGAGAAACGGTTTCACAGGTGCCGAAGCAACAGGGACGGGTGTTCGTACGGGTATGGTGTGACGTGGTGTATTTGCATTGGTTCAAGAAGGTTTGCCGTGACAAGGTCTCAAAATCAAGGCTGAGGCCATTTCTGCAATAGCTGGTTTGTTCAATAAGGACCAAAGGAAAAATGGTCTCGGCCGCGCCAACTTGTCAAGCCATCCATTGCCTGCTCGGGCCATTTGACTGAGGATTTGGATGCCAAGCAGCATGCTCGAGCTGAGCCCCTCGGCTTCAAGAAGAAAAGAAGTCTTTTGAGTTTGTGCTTTTTTTAGCCGCCTTGCTCCTCCCTTGCTTGATTAAGTAAGCGCTTATTTGACTGGCTAATGATTAGGAAGCTCCTAGGTAGGACGCAGGATAGCTCACGTTTCCTAGATGTTTTGAGGAACTTAAGTTAATTTTAGGTGAGTAGTCGACGTGGTGCAGCATTTGATCACTTCAACAGCACCACCACCACCTCAGCATACCAAATCATTTATGGCAATAAAACAAATGTTCAAAATGTTTGGCTCTTGATGGCAGGTGCCTCCTGCCAATACCCTCAAGCCACCAATTTGTTCTTGTGAAAAGAGTGGTGAGTGGGTGAGGTTCCAGAAAAAAGGGCATCGCTTCCCAATGTGGGGATAACATTTGCCATCAATTGCCCGAATAGTTTAAAGGATAATGACGTCCTTTTGATTCCCTCAATTTTGAGGCGTTCCTTTACTCTACTGAAACTAGTAATGGCAGTAACTTCTCTTAAATCTCAAGATTCATGATAAGCTACTACAGCTTATGGAGGGTAGAGGACGCTACTAGGAGCAAAGGGCATCGCTACTAGGAGCAAGGACGCTACTAGGAGCTTTTTACGATTCCCACCGCCCGCGCCGGATCCTGTTGGCCTCCGAGGCAAGTGGCCTCCGAGCTCCGTGCTGCCGAGCAGCGCATGAGCGACGCTGAGAAGGTGCAGGACCTGCGGAGCGCGGCGGCACAGCTGGAGGAGCTGGAGAAGCACCGAGTGCCTCG